TTGTTGTTGTTGTTGTTGTTGTTTTGTTTTTTGCTTTGTAAAAATGCTGCTGAATGGAAAGAGAGAGGGGGTAAAAGCCTTCATAAAATGTGTTTTTCTCTGACTGCCAATCAGTTGTTCTATATATGGAGACTTGGCTCTTGATAGTCTACCCATCACTTTTGTTTATCAGCCACTTCACTGGATATTTAATTTTTCCAGCAATACTCATAATGCATGAGTTCAGTAAGCATAGATGTATTATGAAATATATGCTTCCTGATGGAATTAACCTGATAAATTCCATTCTGAAACACATTAGAACTTATTTGGTTATTAAGAAAAAGTGTTATTTACTTTTCTTACTAAATCAAGGAAGAATGTTACAGTTGTCCTTGTACTTCAGATGTGTACATTTTTCTTATGAGTGTGGTCATGTCTGATGATCTAACTGGAATTTCTAAGCTGATATACTTTTATGGATACCATATAGAGCCTGATTGGTAAAAGTTTGGGAATTTTTAAATTGTGTATTTATCCTTAGAATGAAGACCTATATTCATAATTGAACTAGATTCTTTTTCAATCCAAAACATTTCCTCTTGGGGCCTAACAGAGTTGATAAAGATGTTCATAGTTCGAAGTTCTAACATAAAACACTAGATAACTAAGTAATATAGGATGAGTCTTTGTTTATGCAAATATTTCTTAAGAGTTTCATAAATCTTAACTGGTTCTCCAAACACTCCCTAGAGATCATCAACACCAGTTGTGGATGGGTGGGTGTGTGGTAGAGAAAGATGGTCATAAATGGTGTAATTAAGATCTTTTCTCAGCAAGAACTAAGGAGCAATTGATATATGAAATTCTTTCATCTGTAAGCTGGGTTATGTCTCAGGTCTTCACTAGTCTCTTGTGTTTTACTTATATCTTCTGTCAACCTCTCCCTCCATTATAAAAATTCTCTTTTATTAAATAACACATTTCCAGAGAGACAAGTTTGAGAAACTTTGAATTGTATATCATAGTACACCTATAAATTAAGATATATTTGATTTCTAATACATTATTAAATTGGGAGAAGGAGTTTCTTAAGTTTCTCAAAAACAAAACAAACAAAAAAACACCCTGGCCAACTAGTTATTTCTAAAAGAAGAAAAACTTCAATCTTAATATCAAAATTAGTACCTTGAATAAATTTGAATATCATATTTATTGGGATAGCTGATATTAGAAAGATAATCTACAGATCCCTACTGCCAACAAAAGGAAAATTTTAGTGTATTCTTTTCTGTTGCTTTAATTTTGAATTGAGTTTTTATGTGTTTTTTAGTCTTTCTATTTAGATTGTTGTCTAAAGAGTATGAAAGTGAATCTTGATATCTTTATTTTGCCTACTGTTGGCTGCTTACCATTCTGGATATGGAAAAATGTTACATACATTATTTCCTTGAAAACTCTTATTAATTCAGCAATCTTTATTAAACATCTGTCATGTACCTGTGTGTTAGGTATGATGTAGTGATAAAAACATGTTCAGAGAGGCAATTAAGTGGTTTTCTTTCTCTCTTTTTTTT